GTCTAAGTGGAGATTATCTACGCCTCCTTTGATGTGTCAATTTGCAGGCAAATATTTAACCATGAGTTACTAATTGTCCCACAGTGCCCTACACCCTTGCTAGGAAGATATTTACTAGCAAAACTGGGGCAAGACTCAAACACAAGATAAGATCAAAGGGATTTTACTTGTTGGGATTACACCAGGTCTCCCTGACCAAATTAGCTGACAGGAGGATCTTACCAGCAATCAAAAACTAAAAGATATTTAGTCAATTTCCTAACTGAAAGCAGTATCCAATCAAAGAAAAGGCACATAAAGACTTCCAGCCTCTCATAGCCCAAATCAGGAGTTATTTAACTAAAACCCTGTACAAACTGTCTACTTTCTAATTAAGAAGGGATATAGTTTCCTAAGTAAAGGCTCAGATATCCCTCCAAAAAGTGCAGTATCTGAGATATGTTTCTACACCTGGGGAGTGAGAGCTATCTAAGGACCAGATCCAGGATATCTGTGATTTTGGGGGGCTTCTTGATACCAAATAACAGCTTTATTCTTCCTGGGAATGGCTAGCTTTGCATGATATGGATATCTAACTTTGGACTAATGGCAAAGCCTTTATATGAGGCTGTTAAAGATACTGAATCATGATCCCAGAATTGACAAAAGTGCCCGACATTGCCTTTAGGAAAGTAAAGCATGTTTTTATTCAAGCTCCAGTACTTGGAATACCTGACTTAAGCAAATATATTTTTCTCTATGTATAGAGAAAGAGAGGAATTGCTTTTGGGTGACCCAAAAGCTAGGACAAGAATCCCACCCAATGGGATACATTTGAAAAAAGTTAGACACAATGGTTACTGGATGGCCATCCTGTCTGAAAGCAGTAGCAGCTACATCTTATGTAAACACAAGAAGCTGCAAACTTAACTTTAGGAAAGAGACTAGAAATCCTGACTCCCAATCAGGTCAGTTATTTCAGGGACAAATGATTACTTGTGGTTAACAGGGGACTGGCTTACTATCAAGCCATGCTTTTAGGCATCTCTGAGGTTATTTTAAGAATCTTTTTTTTTTTTTTTTTTTTTTTAGTACTAGGAATCAAACTCAGGACCTTATGCTTGTGAGGCAGGTAGTGGAACCATTGAGCTAAATCCCTGGTGCTGAGGTTATTCTAAAACTTGTACCATGCCTAACCATGTCTGTCTGATGCATATAGGCCCAGAAGTTAGCCACTCTTGTGAACAAGTGATTTCCCAGACCTCTGCAAGCAAGCAGGTCATCAGGGACATACTCCTCCAAGACTCTGACACAATGGGATTCACTGATGTTGTATCTGTGTCTAAGAAGGACACTGAAAAACAAGGTATACAGGAGTCATTTCACAACAGGTCGTTGAGGTAAACCTCTCCCCCAAAAAACAACTGCTCAAAAGGCAAGCTGATAGCTCTTACTTGGGCTTGCACAGGAAAGGGAAACAGAAAGTCATGTCTGAAGTCTCCTTCATAAATCAAAGGGCTGATAGAGAACCAAAAAGGGCTGTTACAGCACCTTAAGAGTCCAGCCAACTGCCAGTTGCTGAGGAACCACTAAAATCAGTTTATACTTCCCAGGAAGACAAATGGGCCTTCTGACAAGAGGGAATTAAAAGGGGACTCCAGGGCTATTTAGAAAATGAACTGGTCCTTCCTCATAAAAAGACTTTGTGATTCATAACATATGGGTAGAAATACACAGGGGTTTTCACAGACTGCCACTAATGCCACCCATGCAACAGGTCGGCAAATCTTTTCCACTGTGGCAATAGTAATCCAGGCAAGCCCAAGTCACCTCTTTTATTACAACCTGTAAGGGGAGAGGGAAATGCTCTGGTGAGGACAGGGAATTGCACTTTAAACACATGTGATCTTGTAGAGGATTTAAACACATGTACACCCAATTGACACCTCTATATTCTTGATTGAATCCTTTCCTACCCATTCAGAAAAGGCTATGGAGGTGCTCCTTAAAGAAATCATCCTCAGATATGGATGACACCATTCTCTACAAAAGAACAATGAGCCTTTTATCTATCAAATAACTGAGGGGGTGGCAAACGATTTAGGAATACAGTACCAGGTCTAATCCACCTAGTGGCTTCTTTTAGAAAGGTAGAAAGAGACTACCGGACCTGAAAGCAAGCTCTGGCAAAAAAGTGCCATAAACTGTCTGAGTCTTGGCTCTGATTGCTGCCAGTGGCACTCAGGAGGGTTCATGCACAAAACAGTGCTAAGTCTGGCAGGCGGTGGAATCACTGAGCTCACTTGAGACGTTATATGGGAATCCACTTCTATCTTCTGACATACTAGTAGACCCAGAGAACATGAGACACTTACAATAGATCATCATTCCGGGCCAAGCACAACAGGCTATCATCTGAGTCTTGGCTGATTGCTGCCAGTGGCACTCAGGAGGGTTCATGCACAAAACAGTGCTAAGTCTGGCAGGCGGTGGAATCACTGAGCTCACTTGAGACGTTATATGGGAATCCACTTCTATCTTCTGACATACTAGTAGAGCCAGAGAACATGAGACACTTACAATAGATCATCATTCCGGGCCAAGCACAACAGGCTATCCATACACGTGGGATCAGAGTCCTGCCAGGTCCTGGCCCAGTGGGCCCACCCAGAAAGGAAGGGCTCATAAAAACATGGAGGGAGGAGACTCCCACAGACCAATTCAACCCAAAACAGAAGGGCCCCTGTGCAGTGATCCTCCTGACACCCACTGCAGGAAAGGTCACAGAGGTAGATAATTGGATTCATCTTTATAGAACAAAGCCAATCCGACCCGATCTGAAGAAAGAGATCACCCAAAAGGAAAAAGTTGTACAGCCCATGACAGAAAGCAGCTATGGAAGACAGAGAACTCCACTCTCTCAGCAGCCCATAAAGAACTGGGGGCATTTGGTTCTCTCAGGTGGAAATGAGGCAGGAGAGCAGGGTGTAGAAAGCTGTTTGGGGAGTGTGACCAGATCCCGGGGCTCACACTCCAAATAATTCTCAAGACTGTGCAAATGGAATTCTCGTGGACTCCCACCCTGTGAGGAGGAAATCAAAGGAGACGACACCATTGAAATCCCACTCCGGTGGCTTTCCTGCCACGACTGTGGCTTAGCCTGCCCCGTGGCCAGGATGAACTTTGGCTTTGTTGGTTTTCATTTTGTCCTCGGCTCAAGCTTGATCTGCAGAGCCAGTTTCTCCCTTACCCTTCACTTTAAAAGTTTCAAATAACTTTGGCCACTCTTTTGGCTTGTTCGTTCAGTGCTTTGTTCTAGAAAGAACCCAGAAACCAGCTCCAGAAGGAGGCTCCAGGACCGAAAAAACCCGCTAGCAACATCGAGGGGTCAGATACGCAACTGGAAGGTAGACTCCTCGGTGTCCAACACCTGTCTCTCACTCTTTCAGAGCAAAAAGCAGCTCCAGGGGTGTCCATTTCTCCACTCCTTTCACTTCAGTTGAAGACTGCTAGTGCTAGGTCCTTTCCCCGAACCAGCTACTCTCTGATGTTTTACTTCCTCAGGAATCACATCTGTGCCCGTCACAGCCTAGGGCTTGAGAACGACTCCCACAGTTTTTAACCTCTGCGTTCAGAACTAAAAGAAATCCCGTTTGCTCCACAATTTGATATAGTGCCTGATAAGTGACGGTGCAGTGTCACAAAAGCAAAGGACCTGTTCATTATCTAACCTTCCCCACCTCCTGTATTTCTGCTATGCATTCTATAAGACTGAATGCCTCCCTAGAGTTAGTGCTTTTGCAGCACCTAGATCCCTTATTTTTAAATTTTGTCAGCCAAGTACACATCGAGATGTTTAAGCACCCCCCCATCATTTCCCTGACGCTTACAATCTCCTAAAATCATCCTAGTCCAATTCTGATATCTTGCAGAGAGGAACTAAGCCACGACTGCTTTGGTAACGAGGTGGGTAAAGTCAGAGCAGCAGAACTCTGACTAGAATCCTGGCCTCACTAAACACTGGTTCAGGATAGCTTTCTGCTACAGCGCATTATCACCCAACTAGGAATGATTGCTATTTACCTCACAACGAGCCCGTCCCGCGCTCTTGCTGCTTTCCCACTACTTCGTGTAAGTGAAGACTTTTTAAAAATTGAAATAGCGTATCAATTCGGGCAACACGGACAAAATCACTATAATCAACTTGGGGAGAAGGGATTTTGTTATAAAGGAATGTCAGCAGGCACGCTGCGGATCAAGGGGACATTCAAAGGTTGCCTCCTCTTCTGGCAATGTGCCCTCCTCCCCAAAACTCAAGGTGGAATTGCTAGGTGGTTTGTCATCAGTTCAACACTTCTATCTAACTAGCCCTGTTAGTCGGTGGTTTCCTGTTCTCTCTCCTCTCTGGGTCCCGCAGCAGGAACAGAACGGCAGCTATTCTTCTCTTTTCCTCGCCTGACCTCACATGTTCTTGCTACTGGTCTCACCCGAACACCTCCCCAGCCCCCTTCCCCTGCCAGGTAAGAACAGACAGACACAAAGCGCTGGAAACCTTGCAAATAGCTTCATTGAGAGACAGCCGGTTGCTCAGGGGTCTATGGGGAAAAGGCATGAGTGCCCCGAAGAGCTGAGTTCGCTCTCACGCTATGGGCTCCCGGACTGCATCCAGGGAGCCTTGGGATTCTCTGGAGGTCTTCGTGCGCGCCTTCCCGGGCCCGCTGCGAGGCCGCTCTGAGGTATCCACCAGCGGCCTCTGGTTGGTCCGTTTTCCCGGTTTCTTGGGTTCCTGCTTCTCTTCCCTGAGTTTCGAGCATGACCTCTTCTGGCCTCTGGACTCAGGCCTGGTGTCTCCCTGGGAGGCGCGTCTGGAGGCCTCGTCCCTCCTGGCCCTGGCCCTGGCCCTGGCCGGCACAGGCTTCCGGGCCGCCGCTTCGCCCTCTGCGCCTCGGTTTTCAGCGCGCTGCGTCTCCATATCTC